TACTTTAGTTGAAATAATTAACAAAATTTTGATGATCCTTAAATCTAACCGTTCATTTTAATGCGAATTTGCTTTGTTGTGCTTGTACAGTGGTAATTTGGATTCGTTAATTTGTTAACTAACTTTATAACCACCTTAGAGCATCACTTAAGCAATTTGAGGAACTGGTGATAAACTAGTTGTAACATGACTTTCTATCACGAGGCTGTAACACCCCAGGTGCCACAAAAAGGCAAGGATGTCACTAAACGCCCCTTCCCTCAAGCTGGAATACAAAACTCAGTGGCAAACATGATAAACAAAGTAGAACGCAGAGGCAACAACAACTATAAAACCATGATTAAGAAAGGTTCCATCTCAGTTAATATTATTAAACCACGAAGGGTCATCATGACTGATAAACTAAGTTATTTACAACAAGCCAAAAGTATTATTATGTCACTAAAGTGTGGACAAAGTAGTGATGAAGTGCAACTAATCTCATCCCTTCAAGCAAAGCATCAAGTACCTGGATTGAGTAGTGCAAGGGTGAGATGAAACATCTCAACAAACAAATTTATTTTGACAAGCTATTTAGACCACAAGTTGAATTAAACAACGATTTAACATAGAGTTCCACTTATAGAATAAACAAGATATAATATCAATGTAAATTTAGTGGCTTCCAATTTTAGAACATAGCCATATGATAGAACTTCATAACAACAAGGAAATATCACTTCAATATACTCCATGAATGCATATGAATGCAATGCAAAATGACTCCTGCCTGCACACCCAACAAAGTGTGGAGCTGCATCCCATGATGTTGTACCGGTACGATCGTGACCATAGGTAACAGCATAACTTCCAATGCATATGAATGGTGTAATGCACATGGTACGTTGCAATAAAAAACAAATAAACCACCAATGATACTTCAACTTTGTCTTCAAGGATATGGATTAACACATATGCCAAGATGGAATAATAGCAATACCATATATAGATAATCAAGACATCCATGAAATAATATTGAATAGACAAAGATCAAAAATTTTGGTTATTTGTAGTATGATATTATTATAAACATTATGGTGTTGGTGATGAAAAATAACAAGTCAAAATGGTAGCAAACTACCGCTACATTCAGTTGCCACCGACCAAGAAGAAAATGTACTAGGCATGTTTTGAAGCACTACAACCTAGTTTAGAACAATGAACCCAGTACAAATACTCGAAATATCACTCATAAACAATATATGAAGCGTTTCTACATTAAAACCAACAACGGACGAAAACACACCCACTTGATCCCAATAAAATAGTAGCAGCGCTGTTTGTGTTTTTTGTATCTTTGAAACCATAATAGCGATGATAGAAAACAAATACTCCACAAGCATATATACAGAACAAGCTACAGCTTCAGTATTCAAACAAAGTACAAATTTCAACAATTGCTATTTTTAAAACAACCTACAAATTGATAGACATGTTCTGTCTTTAACAGGAGCAACATTTTTAAAACAAAAACCATATCTCCTAAACCATTCAACCAAAAACAGAGTTTAAATACTCGATGCAAAAATCATACAAAGTACTACAAAAAACTCCGCAGCGCACTGGACCAAATTGGCCTCGAAGAACTCCTAAACTAACATCCAAAACTGAAGGTCAAAACCGAAACTATAATCTGATAGTAAACAAGACAACCAATTTAAAACATTCATAACTAGATATATATTGACTCAAAATTATAAACATTACTAATCTGAATGGCTTAACAGAAAAATATACAACTTTCTTGTTATAACTTTTCGGGTTTGAAGAGCCTAAGATACACAAAACAAGACTGCAAAACAACTGAACTTTTCCGATGACTGAACAACAACTGAGCACTAAAATAATCATATCTCGAGATATAATGATCCAAAGTTTATGATCTTTAATAATATGGAAATCTTATGAAATTACGTACAACATTCACATAGATCATTTCATGAGATTACGGACCTAAGATACCGTAAAACAGAATGCATCGAATATTGTCCAGAATTCTGACAGACAAAAGCATCATCAAACAACGATCATATCTCCCAAACCATAAGGGATATAAACGTGATCTCTATTCCAAAAGAAAAATACTGAAGTCTACTACCTGAGTATAATTTTCTATGATTTTTGGATACATAAAAGCAGCTCTAACCAGCAACCAAATCACGTGCGTAATCTGGAAAAATAGCATGGCCTAATTACGAGGTTAGAACCCTAACCCGTCAACTAATCCAACGAATTCCCCAAACCGAAGCACAGATTCTGCATCAAAACAGTGGGGGAAAACGAGATCTTACCCTAAACAACATGTACCACGAGGATCCATAACGATTAACCTCTCGTTTCCCCTTCTTCCTTGATGATGTTTGCACTTTGAAACAAACATATATTACTATAAAATGCTGTGCGTGCAGAAAGGCCTCTCTACAAATCATAATCGTCTGTGGTCACGCAAATCTGATAGTAGCCTCCAATTCAGAATATTTGATTCCGCTGATTTTGCAGAGAACATCTTGGATTTCAGTCTCCATCCAATGAATTCTGCAAACCAGCCAATGCATTCACTGATCACTGCTTCATCACGAAGGTCTTTTGGAAGTTCATCCTTTCTCACAGACAAGACATCAGCAATGGTATTCATCATATGCCTTGCTAGATTTCTCGACCTAGCAAGGTTTCCTGCACCATGCATTGTCCAGTCAAGTAGAGCCTTCTTTACAGACTTGTTAACATCTTCTTTCAGTTTGTCCTCCAATGTTTTGGAGAAAGATGAGAACACTTCTTCGTTAGTATTACCAGTACATCTGACACTCACTTTAACCACATAGTGCTTGTCAACATCAAATGTGAGTTCAACATCAACACAGCCATGATATTATGCTAAACCATAACATGCTCTCCCAAAAATACTTTAACAAGCTTTCGTTCTCCTTAAGCAACCCAAGCAGGAACCTTTACTGTCTGTTTCGTTGGGATAGTGCTGTATCTTGGAACCACTTTGCTAAAAATTCCATCCGAGGACTCAAATCCGATAGATAGAGGAATCATATCATCAGTAATCTCTTGTTTGTCATGTACAACGAGGGCAGCTTGAATTGCAGATCCCATAACAACAGCTTCTTCACGGTTCACCTTCAAGTTCAGATTCTGACCGAAGACTTCACAAATGATTCTCTGTATCTTGGGAACTCTAGTCATCCCGCCAACCAATATTATTTCCTTGATATTTTTGCTAGATATCTTAGCATCTTCCAATGTATTCTGACACTTGCCTTTAATTTGTCCTATCAAGCCATCAATCAAATTCTCTAACTCCAGGCGAGAAATAGTAATGTCAAGATCAATAGGAGCTTGAGCAGATGCACTGAAGGCCGGGACTGAAACTGTAACTTCATATTTGCTTGACAATTCCACCTTAGCTTGCTCCACCGTCGCTGCAAGCATTGTCATAGCACATCTATCTCGACGAGTGTCAACCGAATGAAGTTCGAGTATCTGTCGAACAACAAAATGGACGAGTATGTCATCAAACAGATCCCCACCCACAGAGGGGTCAACAAATTGACTTCGGATCTTTTTGTGTCAGGAGAGACATCAAAGATCGAGACATTATATGATCCGGCATCCATGCCAAAAACAACAATGCCATTTTCTATTGTTATGCTAGAAAGAGCAGCGGCTACTGGTTCATCTATTAGTTGCAATAACTTCAAGCCGGCTCTTTGTGCAGCTGACTTTATGTGCTCCTTTTGCCATTCGTCAAAGAAAGCAGGCACACTTATAACTGCCTGAAGCTCGTTATGAAACTGGTCCATCAGAACAATATCTTTCAGTTTTCAGAAGACAGCGGTAGTGACATCAACAGGAGAGAACTCCATTCCACAAATTGGTCTAAATCAACAGGAGTAAAACACAGCAGAATAGTCATTTTGGTACCTCAACTATTGTTCAAGGTTCAGTTTAATCTTTGAAATTTTAAAATGGTTGTTTCAATCCTCAAACTTTACTTTTAGTCTCAATTTGATCCTAAGACTATGAAAGTAACCGTTTTAGTCCTCAAACTTTGCACTTTGGGCTCAATTTCATCCATGAACTATCAAGTGAATTTTCATTCTAGTCCCTAAACTTTCATAATTCATGAATAAAATTGAGCTTAAAATACAAAGTTCGAGGACCGAAACGATCACTTTGATAGTTCTAGAATAAAACTAAACCTAAAAGAGTTGGGGACCGAAACGGCCATTTTAAAAATTGAAGGATGAAATTGAGCATCATAAGGTAGTTAAGGGACCAAAATAAATATTTTGCCATCATGAAATTATTGGCTACATAGAAAATAACTCTTGAGAATGGTCTAAATCATTAGACTAAAAACGCCGGCCCTGTTCGCTTGTCTTATAATCCGTACTTTTCAGCTTGTTTTTTCAGCCGGAACTGTGTTTTTCTCTCACAACAAATCAACCAGAACAGTGTTTCGTCTTGTTTTTTCAGCGAAGCGAACATGCCTTCTGCAATTTGAGGGACACATATAAACACATTGAATATGATTGGAGATCTTGTGGTGACTCGGGCGCTCCTTTTCTTGTCAGATACACTATGCACGCCAACACATGCCAGGCTTGTGCCTTCTTTGATTTCCATGATTTACGACTTAATTTTGGTGTTTCTAGCATTATACCCGTGCTAATGTTGATGCTTTGTTTTTTTTTTTTTGTACTCCAACTTCATATGGCTATAGGCACTTTCACAATTGGACTCCTCCAGTCCATGCTACAAGCGCGTTAACCGGGAGCACTTCCGAGTCACGCCACGAAGTGACGCACCGCCTTTATTTGTCTAGCCCTTGCATTAACCCCCTGCTCTGCTCTGCTCTAGCTCCACATAATGTACTCCCTACTTCTTTCTCTTCCCATTCTGAACAGAATTCTCCTCTTGCCAATTCTCGTCTCTCGCTCTCTCCTTTGCTAATGAAGGTCAGTCACTGACTCATGAGCGTATTCGCGCTGATGCACGTAAGCATTATCTTTCCGGCCTCTGGCAACTAGCAACTGACAGTTACTTTTGTTTCCTGATGCTTCAGAGATCAACAATGCCGAACGCGAGGCGCATGCGCATCCCGGCGTTCGGGGAGTGGAACCACCACGGCGCCGACGGCGCCGACGGCAACGGCACATGGCCGGCGGTCATGACCCCGTTCTTCGACCTCGCCACGCCGCAGAAAGCAGCGCCCAACAAGACGGTACGCCTACCAATCACAACAACTACTTTCTTTCTATCATCAACGGCTCGGGTTTTCACGATGCGTTGGCTTGTTGCTTATCGATCGAATGGGAAATGCTGGTCGTGTAGGGGAGACGACGGCGGGGCGGCGACGGCTTCGGCGCGGCCAAGATGGCTACGGCGGCGGAGCTGGCGCCACAGGGGCACGTGCAGACGAGGCGGAGCAAGGCGGCGAGGAGGTCCTGCTTCACGGTGGCCAAACCCGTCGACGACGACCTGTACGGGGTTCCACCGGACATGATGCTCTACGGAAAGCCAGCACCGAGGGTACGCATTACATGCCTATGGTTCATTTATTTGCAGTCAGTCCATTTTTGTATCCTAAGATAAGATGTTCGAGAACATTCAGAAACCACGATTGCAAATATGCATTATTAGAACACCTAATAAAGCCTAGGTCTTAACATACATAGGTAATCGGTGCAAAGGAAAGAAACAAGAAGATTGCAAGCTCAAAAATTTCTCAACACGGAATATTATTTGCAGTCACACAGATGAGCACTTAGTTTCCTCATTACTCTTATTATGGTCTTAAACGTTCATGTGATGATTTAACATGCATGACCGCAGCTGTGATAGCTGATACACGCACGAACTGTCATGACTCATTGCAGAGAGATGGCTGGCTGAGGATCCTGCGGCTGCTGGGCTGCTCCTGCTTGAGCCCGTCGAAATGACCGGACATAGCCGAGAGCATGATTGCTCTGCTCATGGTGCTCACGGCCTCACGGGGGCACACGGACAACAAGGCTAATCAGGGCTCGGGCTTTTTGGCTCTCCCCCTTCCATCCTGTACAAAAAATGTCTCAGCTTTTGGTGCATCTTCTGATCGATTCATGACGGCACGACATGACGTGCCGGCCGGCCTTGCATGACTGTGTGCGTGGCTGTGACGTTGGTGTTGTCACTGTTCGCTGCTGACCGGCTGTCTAGTATGACTGCGTGCGCGAAGCTAGATCAGAGGTTCTTTATGTACTGTCCCTCTGTTCCCGTTTGTCGCTGAACTCCTCGCCGGTAAACCTAGCTAAATGTATATGACAAGGCTGTGTAACGCGACACTGCAGGGTCAATTAAAGCTTGAGAGTGATGTTCATTGGAGCCTGTCCACATGGGAATTGCCTTAGCTTCCTTGTGGTAAAATCTATTTACCTTACTTCAAGACCTCTACATATATATTTTTTTAATGGAGATTAACTCGGCTTTTAAGAAAGCCAATAACAAAGTCTTACACAATGGGGTACCAGTTTTAACAGAAAGAGCGAAAACCAACACTCCAAAATTTGGAAGTTTTAACAGAGAGACCTCTACATACGTGCTCACAATATCCGTGTTACCCTGTTAGGCATCGGCCTTTTGTTGTTCATTAGGATGTCCTTGAGGTATCTTGTGCATGTCGGCAAGCAATGGAATGTGTATTATAGCTTTTGGATTACTTTGGCAAACTTAATGAATTGTTCGTCCACGGATTGGCCTGTGGCTGCGAGTGGGAAATGGAAACATTCTCGTCTCCTCAAAATTTGTCTTTCCCTTTGTTCTTCGAAGTCGTAGTTATGGTTGTCTTCCTCCTCCATATCATTGCTTGCTGCATCCTTCATTCCCGACCGGTTAGGATATGGTAAATCACGAGTGGACTTATCACTCCTCATGGTCACAACATTAACATTTTCTTTACGAACACTTTCGGGCTGCCTCTAGATTTTACCTTTTTCCAAGGTTCTGTGATTTAGGGTTGTCTTTCCCTTGTCATTTTAAAGGCGGCTCTATATGCAGCTACCGTTACAGATGTATTTTCTAGAGGCAGCTAGATCTAGAGTCATCTTTAAATGGATTTGTAAAGGCAGCTCGGTCTAAAGCCATTTCTAAAATTCATATTTTTTTCAAATAAAGTTGGATAAAGATAAACTTTATATCAAAGTTGTATATCTTGGAGAGATCTAAAATTCTGCAGTTGACAACTTTTTCATTTGTAATAATTTGGATCCATCAAATTCAATTTGAAGTTCTCACATTTTGAATTTTATTTTATTTTTTACTTTTGTGAAGGATCTCGGATGGAGAAATGACCAAAACCAAAGTTATAGATGTTGAAAGGATATTAAAAAGTGCAGTGGAGAACTTTTTCATTTCAAAGAATCTATGGTCTCAAAATTTAGGTCGAAGTCCTCACATATTCAAATTCAAATTTTTCAAATGACCTTAGATGGAGAATGACCAAAGTTGTAAATCTCGAATAGTTATAAAACTATAGTTGATAACTTTTTCATTTCAAATCATTTGAAAACTATCCAAGAAAGATTATGTTTGGGTTTGTCACATTTGAAAAAATTTCAAACGGTCTGGGATGGAGAAATGGTCAATACAAAAGTTGTAGGTTTCAACAATATCTACAACTTTGCAGTTGAAGACCTTTTCATTTGAATTCGTTTAGGGTCCCAAATACTCATTTCAAAATTGGATAAAGATAATACCGGGAGAATGAATATGCTTATAGGCACAACTTTCTTTAGGGTAAAGTAGTTAGTGGAGTAACGTGCGATGCTTGAGGTCGTGGGTTCGATCCCCTGTGGCCGCAAAAGTGCGCAAAATATTGTATGACTTGTGGCTTGCGACGACGCATGCATGTGATTGCTTGGTGGGGTCCGTTTCTATAAAAGTTTGTAGAAACGAAAAAAATAGACGCAGCTGAGAGAGACTTTTCAACCGCCTCTAAAATCCTTTAGATAGTAGTGCTATAGAACATAGTAGTTACTTACGATATGAACCAATGTCACTACACATTACATTACTAGTAGTGTTTAAAGGTTTGGTTAAACCATACATTGGGCCAAAGGCCCATGGAAATGGTTGGCCTGCATAGACACCCAAGCAACCGACTTAAGCCTCCACTACAATATGATTTGTCATGTGAAATATACAAACACGCATACGTTTTTTTTTAATTCAAACCCGGCCCGTATCCCTCTGCCCTCTCTCGGCTATTGCCTACTTACATCACTAGTAGTGTGCCCGTGCTAACGCTACGGTATTCTTTGTTGCACGGTATTCTCGTTGTTTTATGTTCCTCTCTTCTCTTTGCTCATCCATGTTTATGTTATTTGATACATCTCCAAATATGTGTCGGCCTCCGATCCTTTTGTTTGGAGCCACACAGGAGTAAAATTGAAATTGTTTGGATGCAACCACAATCTTAACATCTGAATCAAGATTGAACAATAGCAACTAATAACAGGCAGTAATTATTTGTAGTAACAAGAAGTAATTATTTGTGCACAGAGACTAATCATCTCACAACAGAACTTTTGTTTATATTACAACGATATTGGATTTGAATGATTACATCTCTACTTTGTACCTCTCTATAATACACCAAAATTTTCTTTACTAAATTCATCCCCTCAACCACCCCCACAGTCATGCCTAATCTTAGTTCACCGAAATTTGTGTACCAAAGTAATCCAAATTTCATACAAATGAATGGCCAGGATTTATCCTCAAGCCTTCGGTGAAGTGGAAACCAACAAGACTAATAATTCCAGTTTAGAAACAACACCAGCAAATTGAGTCGTAAACCTTCTATAGAGTTCCTCACTGTGGTAGCTTGATTTGCTCTTGAGATAGCCTTCTATACAGTTCTTCACTGGGGTAGCTTCAATTGCTTTTGAGATAATCTTCATGGCTATTAACTTGACCATGAATCATTGCGAAAACTACATAGACACCTAATGGTCATGCCCTTATATGGCTGAGTTATTCTTTGATACTATCATGAATATATTAACCCTACGTACATTTTAACATGTTGTAACGCACATGCATTTATCTAGTAATTATAGAAAATGTGGAACATTTAGAATGGAACTTTTGCTTTAAATTACAACAATAGCAGTTGCAGGCCTTCATGTCGTCCATCCAAGCTGCCGTGCAAGCCGCCATGAAGTCATGCACCTCATGGACCAACCCCACTACAAAACAGGAGTCGTAGGCTGGTAGCTGTATCCCCTTCTGAATGAACCATGAAAGTGGACCAGGCCATGGGGATTTTTCGCTTTGCATTGCTAATGGACAAGAAAGAGAGTACCCTATTTCTTTCACAATGCAATTAAAAAAAATCTGAAATCATGACTGAGGTAAGTTTGTAGGATAAAAAACTTGGTACCATAATCTCCTTGATAGTTGATCATTCAATTCAAATTAGTTTGCACAATAAACTTCATGGCCTTGTCCGCTCAAACTGCAGAAAAGCGAGCACACACAAGCGGGAAGAGAGCACCCCGCATCCACGATTAATCCAAAAGGAACCAAATATGGGGACAGAGCAAGTAGCGAGGGATCGCGTACTTGGAAGTAGAGGCCACGTCGTCTACCACCACCACGCTCCACAATTCAAGCATCCAAAAGATCTGCTAGTCAATGATGTTTCGCGATGTAACTTGCTAACATTATCTATCTCTAGCAGGCATGGAAAATGTTTTTCTCTAAAATATTTTTCAATTTTCTAAATTCTGGATTGATTAAAAACATATACATATTTAATACCTATATGATGATTACAACGATTTCATTAGTGAACTGGCTAGGGGCATTCATCTGCTTCTTGTCTTGTTTTTCCTGCAAGCACATTGCACAAAAAGATTTGTGTGTTGGATCTCCCAAGACAATACAAAATGTATATTATCATTCAAACAAATCAAATACAGAAGATGCAACTTGCCTGGCTACATCAATTAAAGAAAACAAATATACAAGAAAAATGCCAACTTGCCTACATCAATTCACGCTTGTGAACGCCAGATCTATGGTTTGCGCTGTGGACACTAATCGATTCATGCATGGTGGCAGTACATACCTATTACCTGAGAATCCTTGACAAGGTCGACTGTGCAGGGAGAGGCGAGGCAGAAGACGCCCAAGCATGCAGCACCCACGCGACAGCCCAGGCCCGCCGAGGCGCGAGGCCATGCGGCGCTCGCCCTGGTCCCTGTCCAGCAAGCGGTAGCCCGCCCATGTCCATGTGGGTCGCCGCGTCGGTGCTCGCCCACATGCCAACCAATTTGCCTTCGCCTGATGTCGATCCGCTTGAACCGCCGCCGGATCTATGCCGGGCGCTGCGTACTGCCGTGGAGGCCACCTTCGCACGTGCCACAATGGAGGTCGTCACCGTGCCGCCGATGCCTGGATGGAGAGAGCAGTCATGACTGGAGGGTTGTGGCCGATTACTGCGTGGAGGGAGCCGTGGTGATGTAGAGGAGGGAGCGGCCGTCCTCGTATGGGATTTTAGAGGCGCAACATACTTACTCTTCAAAGCTAGGCACGCCGCATGCCAATCATGCATGCCTGAGTGAATGTGATCTTAGAGCGTCCATAGTGTGAAGGAACGGGGTTGCTCCTATCACAGGTCCCACCAATGACATGACTTCCTCCTGGTATTGAGCTCGCAGCGTATGGAACCGGGGTGCTCATCAGCTCATGGTAGTTGGAGCCGTTGGAGCTGTGTCACGTATCAGAGTGATATAATTTTTTATTGCAAAGGAGTGGGTTCTATGCCTCGGAGCTACTCCTCCATCGAATCAACCCCAAAATGTAATGTACCGGGTCCTATACATGCATTAAATGCATAGAACCGGCTTCACCCAACCACTGCGGACGCTCTTAGCAATCACAGGGATTTGATTGAACC